AAGCTCCCTAACCACCTGGCCATGTCGGGCCCTCATCTAATTTATTTCTTAGTGTTCTTTGCCCCCCCCCCCCCGGTATGTCTGCGGACTTACAACGCTAGAAACCGGGTTTCGATATCCGTGGTCGGCAGAGCACAGATAGCTCATTGTGTAGCTTTGTGCTTAATTACAAACAAACAAACAAAACATTGAAGTTTAATTATTTCTCGGAATTTCTTACTTGCTTTAGGCCTGTGACACAGCTCGAAATAATTATTCTACTATAGATTGTAATATACCAAAGGTTTAAAGTAGTACACTGCAAAAACAAGCAATATTAAGAATTTCTAACATTTTAGTTACGATAAGGCTAAAACCATTTTTCGCAATTATATAATTCATTCTCTTCACAGGCCATGAGTGGCTTATTGGTTAATGTGTCAGACTATGAATAAAAAAATCGCACCTTTCATTTTGGGGGCGTCGAAAGACTGACGGTCAAATAATACTATTCGATTAAAGAGTTGGCGGTCGGTGCTGTTGACTAGATGCTTTTCTTCAAGTCAGTCTGTTCAAAATTAGTGGTGACTAGCGTAGATAGCCATTGTATAGCTTTGCGCGAATTTAAGAAAAAAAAAGAACTAACCTTTTTCAGTTCCTTGTTATGTAAATCAGACATCAGACCTAAATTCCAATTGATTCAGACTATGTCACATTTAATGGTTTCACATAGACTTGTCTCATTTATGAATTTATATGAATCACAATGTTCAAAGTGCACCAAACTATTGATGAACTGTAGCTACACCTCAAAGAAGATATTTGGATGTTTCACTGATATGGAGATCTAGTGAATAAATGGAAGCCAGCCAATCATAGTTTGGCTGATTCAAATTGGTTACATGTGTCTGAATGTATTATAAACTGAATATGGAACCATTTTCAAACTAATGATATGATTGTTCTGATACCTGGACAAAGCAGCCCATAACCCATAATACAAGCATGTAATTTCCATTTATAGATTCTGCTAGCCACAGAGGACCTTCATTGATACTGAATCAGATGTTCTTAGCCGCAACTGTACGCCGACCATTCTCTATCGATACTACTAACCACAGACGACCTTCACTGACACTGAATCAGATGCTCTTAGCAATAACTGTATGCCGACCACTCTCTGTCGATTCAGCTAGCCACAGAGGACCTTCATTGATACTGAATCAGATGTTCTTAGCCGCAAATGTACGCCGACCATTCTCTATCGATACTATTAACCACAGAGGACCTTCATTGATACTGAATCAGATATTCTTAGCCTCAACTGTTCTCCATATCAGTCTACAGAGCGTTGTAGTTAGTCTTTACGTGACCATTCTGGATGCCTGACAGTGAGTGAAGTGTATTCTGCTGACAGCAAGGAACAAAACAGCTCGTCTCTAGTGATACTAAGAATACGTCCAGCAGACTAACAGTATTCAGTGTTCTTTATACGGATGTATCACGCTGAACCTTGCAGCCAGACAACTTGTATGAAACCATATATATTTTCAGTTTAACATAGGATGTTGTCGTATATGGCAATGGTGAATATATTGTGTTCACATAAATAAACATTGGTCAACACATCGACCTCTACATCCAGCAGAATAACACCATTAGTGCCTCACATTATATAAGCGACAGAACCACACCCTGCGGCCCTTTTTTTATGCCATATGTTAATGCAATTGGCCTTAACTTCAGTCTAATGGATTATAACCACGCCACATTCTGCTTAACTGGTCGACAAGTTCCTTGAAGAAGAGAGAACTGATCGATTGAATTGATATGCACACCCATCGACTTTTGTTCTTTGCGAACATGTATGGTACGTTCCTTTGGAGACGCGTCAAGTGACTCCAGACACTAAATATGCTCTGGAAACAGTTCTTGCAGGGGAATGGTTGGGATACCTCAGAACCTTAAGCATGCAACATCGATACTAGGCTTCTTTTATCTGGTAACCGTGCTGCATACTTCAGTGAAAAACCATGAACTGTAAATGTATAAATCTAAGTAACAAATGTTCATTTATGAGCATAGACTATGACAATACATTTACATTTCAAATCACATAAAAAAGTTATCAGATCCCTGTTTTGCATAACATTTAACTGGAACGGCGTTGATGTTATTTTACGAAAGTGTCATTGCATTGCATAGCTATAATTTTACAAACTCAGGAAAAAATCTCTACTTTAGTAGTTTGGTTGCCGACCTCATGATTAATATACTACAAATTACAGAGTAAAATTTATAATTTTATGTCCGAATGTACGTATATAGAGAGAATAACAGTTAGGTATTTTAAGTCTGTGAAAGGGTGAAAGAGCAGAACATTTTTTTAAGTTATGATTTAATTTTATATTTTCTTACAGTGCCCCATTTCGACAACGTAAATCCCGAGGTGGGTTATCATGCCATTGTAAAGGAAAATGAGAAAACTGTTGAAGTCACACCCAGAATCCGTGTAGTGAATGGTAAGAACTATGTGTATAATGAAATCATGTCTAATTTTAAAAAGCTTGAATAGCACGTTGCATGTAGTTTAAAACTATCAGTGGTAAGTAAAGAACATGAGATGAAGTTTTACTAATCACGATATTATTGTTTCACCGTTTACCTTTCCTGGTTTTATTGTTATTGAATGTTTACTGTTGTTTGACTATTCACCTTTCCTGGCTTTTTTTATTATGGAATGTTTACAGTTGTTTGACTATTCACCTTCCATAACTTTATTATTGATCTCATTGTTTGACTATTCAACTTTCGTGGTTTTATTATCATTAAATGTTGACAGCTCTTCGACTGTTCATATTTCCTGGCATTATTATCATTGAATGTTTACAGTTGTTTAACTATTCAACTTTCAAAACTTTATTATTATTGAACGTTTACAGTTGTTTGACTATTCAACTTTCCCGGCTTTATTATTATTGAACGTTTACAGTTGTTTGACTATTCAACTTTCCCGGCTTTAT